CACGATTGGGATTAAATGATAAACAACTCATTCGATGTTTCGTCGATCGACCTAAATTGGCAAGTTTCGATCGTTATTAAAATTTCTTAGATAACATCTCAATTTTTGTTTGCATAGATTTGCTATCAATATTGCTTGTGCGTTTAGTTTAAAATATTCTGCATTCAGTTACATTATGAGATTCTAATTCACCTAGGAACATTTTGCGCGTAATATCCTGCTGGTACATCTTTATCTAATTGCAATCAATACATCAGATAATGCATAATCCTGTGACATCGCGCTTTTGGTTGCAATGCTGAAAGCAATGTAGAATATATTTTTAGTTGAATGCATTCAGTATATTTGTGTTACATAATTTATAGAATGAAAGTGAATTATCATTACGTGTATATATTTCGTTTATGTTGCACCGATTATGGAGGCAGGAAACGTTCTTTGACGTTGCGGAACGTTTTCACGTATCACGTGGTTGGCTTCAAAATGTTCTGCAGGCAACTTGTTCGCAAGCATCTTCGATAGCGCGTTTTGCAGAAGTAAAGTTTGACATTTTTGCTTGGAAACATTGAATAATATTTTTAAATGTATATTAAATGTGATCTTCATATTTGATAACATTTTAGAAAATACCGTCTTTCTGGCCATTGAAAAATTTGTTGCCTGATTTGGTACAGCATTTGCGAGATTGTTCACAACAGGAGCTAATTCCGTTACTTGCACTTGATGGTGTTAAAAGAGGACGAGCACGACAACTTTATAATGCAGGTATTAAAAATATATAATGTTCATTGAAGATAAAAAGTATGGTTTAGAAATTATTACTTATTAAAACTGTTCTTAACTCGGAAATGCAAAAATGAAGCCATTGCAGATTTTTGTTCAAACTATTTTCGATACAGATATGAGCAGATAATGAATCATAAGATACCTAATGGGATTTCATTAATTTATTCATTTTAAGGTTTCAAAACGATTGGTTTGATTGCTTCAGCAGACTCATCGATGTTGCTATCTACCATAGATCATCTTAATAGACGACAGGCTAACGCAATCATCAGAAGCGCAAAGGTATTTCCATTATAAATTTTTGTTGACAATAATGTTGAAAGTTTTAACCACTAGTTTAATCAAAGCAGAAAAATGAACTTACAAACTGATTAGACGATTTGTACTTTTTTTTTTGATTCCACTCTCTATGCTTCAACAGTTTTATTAAATGCCAAATAAATTTATGCGCGGGCAAAACGTTATTTGAAAACGTATAAATAAACTTGGCATCTTATCCACATGTATTTCTTGCAACTGTATTATTCTTTATCATTCATTAATAAATGACATCTATATTGAAATGAGAAGGAAACTTTAATAATTTGGGTTTTGGTAAAAAATTATTCTATAATGATAGAATGTCAGAAAGATGCAGGAAATTGATGCTATAGAAAATTTTTAATTAGTCAGAAAAAGCTTCAATGAAAAGAGATGAGTAGTATGTAAATGTGTATTGTAGGTCTTGCTTCGTGATCAACTAGCGGAAAAAGCTGAGGAGCTGGAGGAACAGTTTGGAATTAAAGGGACTGAAATTTTGGCAAAGTTTTTCTCATCTCTCTAAAGAATGATTGACGGTTATAAAATGAATAATTTTTTTAGAAAGTCAATATTGTCTGATATAAAGTTATGCTTATGTGGCTGATTTGTGCTCACTTTCACTAATTTTTGTGACAGTTTTCTTTTCTCATTTGATTATATCAAAATCCTTTTATGACAAATATATGTATGAAGGGCTTTTTTTTATGACGTAATTTTTCTTTAACAATTTGTTTGAATGCGGAAATATTCAATTGCATGAATCATTCAATTTTATATTTTTTGATTTTCGTATGCGCGGAAAAAGCACATTATTACAAAAATCATATTATAAATCAGTGAGATTTATAGTTAAGTGATTTTCAATATTGATATTTCATATTCTATTTTAATTTATTTAATGAAAATCCCTCCCTGATTATCAATTATCTGATTACATTTTACCGGTATTAATGTATTATCGTATATTCGTATCTTTTATATTTTTATATTTGTTCACAAGTGATAAATGATAGGCAGTTTTGTTATAATCTCCTCCGATGTGCAATATAAATCATTAATATAACAAATATTAACAAGAAAAAGATCAATAACGATACAACGACAGATAATATTATCCTCTTATACCGGATCAGGAAATTCGGCTGTATAGTATACTTTTCATTGTCATATTCAAAAATTACTTTTACTTTTTCCGGTGATGTGTCATCCGGTGGACTAGAAAAAAAAATTAATATCTTAAGTAAATATCAAAGAGAGCATCATTAAAAATGGTAATTTATTTTAGGTCTTTAAAACTAATTTAGGATTATTTTATGTTTTAGATTATGTTTGAAAGGAAGGCTTTGAGTAATTTTATTGTGAAGCATGACTGTAGCAATAATAATTGCTATTTAGAAGTAAGTACCTGAGAACAATAGTTGGAGGTGGTGGTCGTGTTGATGCTTTTTGTGATTCTGAATGCTTTCGATGATGACCATAAAGTAATGGTTGTTTCAATGGTTGCACTCGTTGAGATCTGCTGAAATTTCAAAATTGTTGAAATTTTATATGAAAATTTATTGACCCTCAATAATGAATTCAACTACTTATAAATTGTTCAAATTAAAAAAAAAAAAGTTTTTCTTTGCAAATAATTTTTAAGGTTTATTTTGTGACGGAATTTATTGTTGAAATATAATGAATTTTGTAATTCTCTCGAATTTCTATCATCGTTTAGATATTTCTTTCACGTGCGATTAGCCTTTTTTTTAACATTTAACTATTTCTCGATGGAAGAAATGATAGAATCCTTTTTTTTTTTTTGCCGAACGTTTGACAATCATCTACTCTAAACTAAATTTTTTTCTTCCGAATCAATGTTCGCTTGAATTCAGTTTTTTTTTTTAATTTTTAAATCAGTATTTCGTTATTTGTATTGTAGTGTATTATTGAAGAATTAAAGTTTCTTTTTTTTTTGTTTTCATTTTTTTCTATTCATAATGATAACTAAATAATCTGAAAAGGGGAATAGTGTAGCCATCGAATAAAAAGCAGTGGTTTTTTCTTCTACAATAATTTAAAGTTTTCATTTTCCATAATGTTGTTTTAACAACAGAAATGTTTATTAGGAAGAATGATTTTTTTTTTATAACTGCATAAGTAAATAAGCAAAAAATTTTTTCCTAAAAAGTGTTTCCTTTTAACATATTTGTAAAAATCTTTTCTAAATAAAAATTTTATTTTTAAAGGGAAATAAAAATTTTTTTCACGTACAACAAATAATAAGTTTCGAATTCAGACACACTAAAGTGATATTTATTTATACAAAAAAAATTCAAAATGATGTTCTGATGTTAGGAAAAATGATTTTTTTATAAGTGTATAAGTAAATAAGCAACCTTATACACTCTTTATTAGCATATAAATAAATAATTAAACATTCCAAATTGATTATACAGAAAAAGTCGAAACGATGAGTTTAATTCAATTCAATGTTTCATTCATTTAAATCAATAGACTGAAATATTTAATTCATTCTTAGAAATAATCCGAAAGCGAATACTTGCTATTCTATCATTAATCAATTTCGGTAAATTGATTAGTGATTACATTTCAGCATATGCACTTATTGCTACTAATACCAATAGAAATGTATTCCAAGTAGCAATTAATAATCGGTAATTTCCGTATTCTAATCTTCATTGAAATAGATGAATGGAATGAAATAAATAATAAATTAAATGGAATATTTTTAAATGAAACGAAATTATTGTTTAAATGGAACGAAATATTTAATGAATTAAATGGAATACTGTTTAAATTAAATGAAAAAAAAAGACCACCTCTCCAAAATATTACTATTAATGGTATCCTTTGGAACATCGTAATTACGAATACCCGAATAGCATTTATTATTTAATTGATTATTGTTTATGCAATTAATAGTTGTTTCATGTGATGATCCAACAGTTTCCATCGACCTGTCACCCTCCTTTTGTGGCTTATCATATTGTTTATCGTTATCGTTATCATTAGCAATAGCTATTCCGTGTGGTAGGCTATAATTATGATATATTCCACTGCAATGATTAAATTTGCTGCCGTTACTTGTTGGCATAGGAACTTCTGTATCATACGTTATCCGTGATTTTTTCATCTATAAAGTTTCATTCGTAAATAATTGCACTTTAAATTCAATTATCATCGATAACATTTCATTTCTTGCAATAAGTTCAAATTATAACACCAATTTTTTTTTCATTTCAATTGATTTTTAGCAATAAAATATATCACAT